CACACACCTGACAGAGAGTGAGCTGTAGTAGTAATGTGCATCCGCTGTGGTCCAACAAGAACTCACCCTTTACAGGAACGCCATGAGATGTTTTTGGTGGGAGCGCTGGTGGGAAAATGGGCGGTGTTGCTTGTTCCTCACACTTGACCTTTAACCCCCCCGTTCCCTCCAGCTTTGAGTACTCCTCTGTGACACAAAGACACTTAAAACCCCTCAAGCCCGTCGCAATCACATCCTCAGCGGAGAGTTCATGTGCCGGAGCATCCACCTTTGGTGAAAATGCAAATATGCGGCTGGCTTTATTTTCGTGTTCTAGGACCTAAAATGGGTTCAAAATAAGATGTAGCCCTCATGTTCGTGGCTTTAAATATTCATTAATGTCAGAAAAATGGTTTCTAGAAAGCTCACTAAAGCCCCTGAGGTTCAGATTGTGGTTTCTGGAGTTTCCCTCGTGCATTTTATCGGAGGTAAGCCTCGTTTTCTGCCTGCTGGTACAGTTTATTAACCCTCTCGCTCTGAGCATTTCTCCAAACCTCTCAAGCCTGTCGCAATCACATCCTCAGCGGAGCAGCAGCAGTGTTTATCTGCCGGAGTAACAAGAGCATCCACCTTTGGGTGAAAATGCAAATCTGCAGCTAGATTTTTGGGGAGTCCTCTAAAATGGTTCAACAAAAGATGAAGCCTTCATGTTTGTGGCTTTAAATCTCAGTTGAACCTCCATTAGTGTCATAAGAAAGGTTCTAGAAAGCCTATGAGGTTCTGATTGTGTTTTATGGTCAAACAGCAGTTTCCCTCGTGCATTTTTACATACATTAGCTCAGTTTTCTGCCACTGTTAAAGTATATTCAGTCGCAGTCACATCCTCAGCAGAGCAGCAGCAGTGTTTATCTGCCGGAGTAACAAGAGCATGCACCTTTGGGTGAAAATGCAAATCTGCTTCTGGCTTTTAAAAAATGTTTTAGCCGTAGACGTAGCCTTCATGTTTGTGGCTTTAAATCACAGTTGAACATTCATTAGTGAAATAGAAATAGTTCTAGAAAGCCTCCGAGGTTCAGATTGGGTTTTTTTGGAGTTTCCCCTTTGTGCATTTTTACCGGACATTATCCTCAGCAGAGCAGGAGCAGTCTTATTTGCCGGAGTGACAAGAGCATCCACAGTATTTGGGTGAACATGCAAACCTGCAGCTGGCATTTCTTTGTGTTCAAGCCTCTAAACATTTTTCAAAAAAAGATTTAGCCTCCATATTTGGGGCTTTAAATCACAGTTGAACATACGTTCTCATCATAAAAACTGTTCGAGGGAGCCTCCGAGGTTTCCCTCCCATTCAATTGGACATTTGCTCAGTTTTCTTCCCATGTAAAGGTATATTCAGGTGTATTCCCAGTAAGTGGATGAGGTGGAGATCCTCTCACTGAGGCTTGCGGGCGGTTTGGACTCCGGGGGCGAGGTCGGGAGGTTGGGAGGTTTTGACAACCTCTCATTTTGAGGTGCAAGCGTCCAATTTTCCCCACATAAAACAAACGTCTCCGTCATCCACAGCTCTGTGGGAGGGTTGGGAGGTGGGAGGATTAGTCAGAGGATGAACCGGGAAAAAAGGACAATGTGGAGGAAATGGACGGTCGGACAGAGTGCACATTTATGCGTTAAAACAATTGAGATCTTAAGCGAGCCGTGTTGATGTCCGTCATTAAAAACGGGAGACTGGGAATGGAAACACATGGACATCCCGGCTCCGTGGAAGGAGAGGCGCTTCAGATTTCTTTTTTTGATGTTAGTTCCGGTGCCACAACAAGAGAGCGGATAAGAATGAAGAAGCGTAAGACTCAGAAGCAACATTTAGGTGTTTCAGAAACGCTCAACTGATCAGTTCTTAGGATCTAGGGTTGGGGTTAGGGTTGTTTCTTCTTTGGTGGTATTTGTAATTACTGGAAAACATCTTAAAACAAACTTTGGTCTTCAGAGAGCTCACATTCAATCAACTTAGTGACAAAACAAAGTGATTTTCGTCGGATTTCTAGAGATTTTTTCAATGGACGACCACATGTTTTGGCCTTTAGTTGCCATTCACGTCAAAAACTCGCACACTGCATACCGGTTAAACTCTCCTGTTCCCTTTAAGCCTACACATAAGAAGTAAAACCATATCATTTTGTTTAATTCTTACCATTTTCAGAGGTTTGATGAGGAACATTTTAGAATAAAAAAGACAAAATTATACTAAAATCTAAAGAAATTGGCATTGATTTGCTGATGTTTAGGTGCTACACTAAATGTCCTCTCACCTTTGAGGCTGAAAATAATATTGTAATATCTTGGAATGTAAGCATTAAAACCATATCATACCATTCTTTAGGGGTTTAAGGAGGACAACATCCAACGTTTTAGAAGAAAAAAGCCAAAATGATACAGAAATCTGAAGAAATACGTATTATTTTGCGTACTCTTAGGTGATACATTGAATATATTTCATCCAAGATGTGATTTATTTCTGTTTCGTGCTAAAAATGAAACACAAAAATGCCAACATGATACACACCATTACACCTGTAACCAATCAAAGCTGCCATTACATGTGAAGTCATTCACCTGAGGCAACTGTCGTCTCCCTGTAGCTTTGATTAAAAATACAGAAAAAGAGGTTTCGGAGAGGTCACGGAGATCATTATAAATCACCCTGAGGGAGTCATAAACATCCGCGGCTAATTCAATGTAAATGCTTCTGTTGGCGGTCGAGACGCAGATGGACAGATGTTGTCATTTCCTGCAGAACGACGGCTCCAAAAGCACTTTTATAGAGCCCGCATTATATTGCTGTATTGATTATTTTCCTCTTGCAAGTCAATTCGAAACGATGGCTTCAGTCCGTTAAAGGTTTGAAACGCGCTGCTCACACACCAGGTGTCCTTTTACATTACCGTTCAAACACACACCGCTGCATAGGAGATGGAGCATGAGCAGCTGTGATGCAGAAGACATGTTTTTTTTTACTTTATCTGCAATTTTGGAGCCGTTTTATAATTTGTTTAATCTGACAACTGTTTGAGATGTCTCAGAATATCTAGTTTTGTTTGATTAATGGTCAAAACTAACTTTGATATGAGAAAAGGGAACAGCAGCATGTGTGGAATAGTGGCAACAGAGCATTTCCCCTGATGAATAAATAGTTGTGGTGGATTAATTTCAACACTAATCTGTTCAGCTGTTCAGTATCTTGGAAGAAATGTGAAAAACGCTATTCAACAATCTATGTTTTTAACTTTAGCTGTTTAAAAGCTGCAACTATCCACTCTTTTATCATCATTTAATACACTTACGAGCGTCTGGAAATAAATATTTTAGCATTACCATTTCCTCAAAACTGCTGGAACCAGGGCCTTTTATACGAGTACATCGATTGTTGATGATTCGCTTGTGGTGGATTAATTGATCTAATCTATTCAACTGGGCAGTGTCTTTGAGCTCAATCTGCTCTGAACAATATTAAACATTCAAATCTGAGTGTGTACTGTATGAAGGCGCAGTATACTGCATTTATTTTGCTTCCAATATGCAGTAATAAGTGATATTTTGTAGATTACGGTAATTAATTGGATCATTTAGTTACTTTGTCCTTTGTTAAAGCTATATTTGATTATCTTCAATAGTAGATATTTCCTGTAAGGTTAACCCCTTTAAACACACTCTAATAGGTTTATCGCATTCATTTATCAAATGTTAAACATCCCGCTCAGTACACAACCGTCTTCGTACAAAATGTAAGGGATCCTTTTAAAAAAATAATGATTTTAAATGTCAAAAAACAGCCCATGATTTGATTTCCTGTTCTCTCTCAGATATCATAACGCGAGAAAACGTGAGAAACCTCAGGTGGCTTTAATCTCGTGTCTGAGGATTGTGGGTTAGCGTGTTCGTAGACGTGGTCAGGTGTTCTGTTTCCAGTCAGTCCTGCTGCAGTCTGACATGTGGAATAAATATGTTGCCGTGGATTTAAAACAGAGTTCTTATGAGTCCTGATCTTTACTTCAAACCAGCCTTCTGTTCAT